TGTTATACGCCGGTGCGTGTTATACGCCGATAAATACGGTAAGTACAATGACAATAAAGATTATACTTATTCATATCCTGAAAGTTTAAATTCTGTTAACAAGAATACCAATCTAAAAGAATCTGCAAGAATAACCAAAAAACAAGAGGGAACAAAAATACAAGATCATCTTTAGGCACCTACATGGTGCTGTTCCTCATTTCCTTTCATGATCAACAGCAATTATAAATAGACAATCTGATGTTATACCTCTGGAGCTTTGTGGTTCATGAGAGCCCTGGTGATTGATTTACCATTTGTCTAGGTAATTCCTGAATAAGAACTTGGTTCTCTTTCTCAAAAGGATCAGACAAAACTGTATAAATCAAATCAACCACATTCTTCTATTCTCTGCTCTTAGTTTAGGGGCCAGCATAAAATCTAAGCAATATACCCTTTTGCCTGGTATTCATATAGCAATACATACTCTTTTTAAGATTTCTGGTCGAAGAAAACAATATTTTATCAACTGCTATCTTTTACCAACAATAAATTACAACAGCAGGGGGAAACACCAATCTGGGAAGAGGAAAATTCAATGACAAGGCTGCAAGCAATTCAACATTTAAAAAGTGTAACTTACTTGAAAATGGCAGCAAGTGTCTTGTTTTTCCTGACAAACACTATCCTCAGTAGACCATCCCACTCCTAAACAAATACGTTAAGAGAGTAAACAGAAATAGTTTCTTGCATCACACATGAAGACTGCTTTCAGTTGGTCACTATTAAAGTAACCTGACATCTTTCATCATCTTCCCTTTTTTTCATTTCTACTTTAATCTTAGCTGAAAATGTTTTGGGGTTCTTTCTATGAGTGGCAATTCCATGGAAAGCGTGATAAGGATAATTGGATAAATTTTGCATTATATGAAACAATTATTTTCAAAGATAGGGTAGATATTGACATGAAAAAACTTTTCATACCTTTGAATCTCATTACAAGTTTTAGAAATGTAAATGAAGCTATGAATGTTTCCACTTCTTATCCTATATACTTAGTTAACATTTAATGCTGTTCAGTGAATAACAAAATATGGAGCATTAGAAGGGCTTCACACAAAATATGGCACTCACGCACAGTTGTCCAAATATCTAAAGTTAATGCACACTTAGGGGATTCTAGGTTGTTTTCATGGGTTTCAGATCATACTGATAAATCTCACCTGAAAGTTAATTGGAGGTGGAGGGTTCTTTGGTTCTATCCTTACAACACTGGATTCAACTTTGGGTGGTGGTTTAAAATTATTTTTTCCTACCTGTTAAACATAATAAAGTCAACTGTCAAAGAAAGAATAACTTTTTATCTTTCTGCTTTTAATTCATTTTTTGTAAGTTCTTTAGTTTGAGTGTTGTGAATTGCCAAATCTATCTTCATCCTATTAAAACTTCCACAACCGTACAACCATCCTGTCTATTATCTAAAATTTCAAAAACTCAAGATAAAATTACCTATTATTTTGCTTACTTTCATTAGATGATCAACACGAGCTAACAGCTGAGTATTAACAGACAGCCTACAATACAGGTGAGAGCCTGGTTTTGCAACTAGGCGAAGAGCAAATTCTCTTTGAAACATGAGTACTGCACACCTGGAAAATAAACATGAGATGCAAGTTGAATACTATTCTGAATTAGCCCTGTCCTGGAAAAGATTAAGAACTTGACATTTGTTCAGCAAGGGTTTATATATATATATATACTACTGCTTGATAGGTTTTTAACCCGCTTACTGTTTTGAACTCTGTGAATATCCAGTAGATACTATAGGCTAGGTTAAATCATGCACGACTCCTGGGTAGTTTAATAAATGCGGTTGAAAATATTGTGAGGACCTAGCTGCTAAATGCAGAATGAGTATTCTTATTGTATGAAGATTTCAAATACTTTGAATCACACAATGCTCTTGGAATAATATGTTATTCTTACAAGGTAAGAGACTAATACTGACACTTTGAGAGGACTGATGTTCATGGATCATAGACTGATAAACAACATAGTTTGCTTCAACCCATTCCTGATGAATATTTCTTTAAACTTATCTGACAGTATTTAAAAGCATTTCAGAGTTTTTCTAGGGGCCCTCTAACAACAGGCTTAGAGAAACAGCAAGTTTGGTGTGGTGGTGTGATTCAAGCAAATACTTCCACTGAAAAATAGATATATAGCAGCGGCCCGCAACCTTTTGG